CCACTGTGTCACACTACCCGGGTGATCATGTAGCACCATCCAAATTCTATCATCTGCATATCTGAGGTTGTTGATATTTCTTCCAGCGATCTTAATTCCGGATTGGGATTCCTCCAGTCGAGCCTTTCGCATGATGTATTCTGCAAATAAGTTAAATAAGCCGGGGGACAATATTCATCCTTGTCGTACTCCTTTCCCAATGTTGAACTAATCAGTTGTTCCATATCCAGCTCTAACTTTTGCTTCCGGTCCCACGTATAGGTTTCTCAGGAGGTAGATAAGGTGATCAGGCAGTCCCATTTCTTTAAGGACTTGCCATAGTTTGCTGTGGGCCACACAGTCAAAGGCTTTTGCATAGTCAATAAAGCAGAAGCAGATGTTTTTCTGGAACTCTCTGACGTTCTCCATAATCCAGCGCATATTAGCAATTTGGTCTCCAGTTCCTCTGCCCCTTCAAAATCCAGTTTGTACTTCTTGGAGTTCTCAGTCCACATACTGCTGAAGCCTAACTTGTAGGATTTTGAGCATAACCTTGCATGTGTGAAATGTGTGCAATTGTACAGTAGTTGGAACATTCTTTGGCACTTCCCTTCTTTGGGATTGTGATGTAGACTGATCTTTTCCAGTCCTCTGGCCACTGCTGAGTTTTCCAAACTTGCTGGCATATTGAATGTAGCACCTTAACAGCGTCATCTTTTAAGACATTAAATAGTTCAATTGGAATGCCATCACCTCCACTGCCCTTGTTGTTAGCCATGCTTTCTAAGGCCCACTTGACTTCACTCTCCAGGATGTCTGGCTCAAGGTCAGCAGCCACACTGTCTGGGTTGTCCGGGACATCCAGATCTTTCTGGTACATTTTCTGAAATGCGTTAAGGCTATGGCTTTAATGATCTCCAGAGGAAGTCAGTCCAATTAAGCTCAAACTACCATGACATAGTGGGTGGTTGAATTTGTTGTAGCAGAGAACAGCTAGTTGATCTTAGGAAGTGTGTTCCCTGTAAGATGTGAAGTCCTGGTTTGTGTAGCACATTGTTGTTTTTTTTTAACTCCTGTATGTTTGTTGCTTCTACAGCTATGTTGAGTGGGAATTGTCTGCCAGACTCTCTTTGGGGTCTTTCCATTTATTTTTCAATTTGGTAGCTTCACTAATTTTTTTTAATGAGACTTTCTTTTCTCTGTTCTCTGTTCTCCGATAGCACTTTTGGCCTGATGGACTCGGTGGAGGGCCCCTGTGTTGCCGTTACGGTTTACAACATGGCTCAGAGCTGGGGGGTCCTGATTGGAGACTCAGTGGCCCTCCCGGAGCCCCACCTTCGGCACCAAAACATCCAGTATCAAGGCAAGGTAGGTCTAGTCAATATCACTCCTTCCCGTAGTGCTTCCTACCTCTGTTGCACGGATGGGTAAAGTACGACCCTGGACTGTATGGGCTTCACCTCCTGCCTCCTAAGAAAGTTTGTTGCAGGCTTTCAGAGTCCTCCTTCAGTGGAACCCCCAGAACCGAATTAAACCCATCCGTTTTTCCATACCATAAGTGGACCACTTGCCACTTCTGGTGTCCACCATCCTCGAAGCTTTGCAGATCTGTACAATCCCCCTAGAGCAGTGGTTTCCAACCGTGGGCCTCCAGATGTTCTTGGACTACAACTCCCAGAAGCCTTCACCACCACTTTTGCTGGCCGGGATTTCTGGCAGTTGAAGTCCAAGAACATCTGGAGGCCCAAGGTTGGGGACCACTGCTGTAGTGGGATTGTACAGATTTGCACAACCTTGAGGATGGTGGACACGAGAAGTGGCGAGTTCTAGTCCACTGCCCTAGAGGATTCTTGGGACAGAAGGTTGGTTCTGGACCTTCTCATTGGCTCCTCTTGCTTTTTTTTAACATGCCTTGTTCCTGCTGTCATCCAAGCTTCTAGCTCAGAGATTGTAACGAGCGGTCTGTAATTACTTGAATGGCGAGACATTAAAAACAGGAAGTGTAGATGGAGAAGATGTTCAAGGCTTATGGGTTGAATCAGCTCTGCCTTGACATTCTCCTTACTTGCTCATTTCTTTTGGGGTTTCTTTAAGTCCTGTGGGTCCGTCATTGTAGGAGAAAGATACACCAAGGGGAAAAGGTTGTTACAGTCAGCTGTTGCCTAAGAGACCTTAAACAACAAGAATCGTGTAGAACTTTTGAGAATAAGAAGTTTCATGCAGCATGAGCTACCTCTTTCCTCCCCCCCCCGGGGCAAAAAGCACGACTGCCCCCTTGATTTCTTCTTCCAAATACAGACTTGAATCTCTCTTATAACAGCGCTTTAAAAATTGAAAGTTTTACTTGCCAAATCCTACTATATATAGCTGTCCTCCAGCCAGCTCAGCTCTTGGTGTAACCGCCCAGTATTCTTGTGGGTGCTGCTGAAACCTGGGTCTGAATGTCTGCATAGGTATGCTGATGGAGCTTTGTCCTCCATCAGAGTAACCCTGGATTCTGGCTCATTGATCTGGAGGCCCAAAGAGTCTTTCCCTCTTACTTGACCGTTCAGTCATTCACCAGTCAGCACAGTTTGAATCAAGCAGGTCCTGCTTTAATCGCCCCACCCCTCTCTTTCTCCTTTTCAGAGTTTTACTTTCTCCAGCATCCGGGTGGAGACCCCGCTGCTGGTGGTGGTGAACGGCAAGGTGCAAGGATCCCAGAGCCAGGCGGCCGCCACCGTTGCATACCAGGCACAGAGCGAATGAAGAGGGGGAAACGGGTCAAGGTGGGGAGCGCTCCCCTTCCGGCAGTGCTTGGCCTTCAGGCTGTACCCCTTTCAGCAGATCTGAAAATTTCATGGCCAAGGGTAGTTGGACCAACTTTTATAATATATGCAAGCATTGAGTGAAAGAGTAAGAAACAAAGATGGGTATGAATCTTAGTTTGGAGATCCATGCTGGTGTGTATGCATGGCACCACGGATGCTGCAGGTTGCCTTCCTCTGCATCCCCCACTCACTCGCTCGTGTATGCTCCTCTCCTCCTCCTCTTCCCCTTTGGCTGTTCAGCCTGTCTCCAGCAGGAGCACGGGCTTCCCTGCTCCGCCTCCTTGGCTGATGGCCCACTTAGACAAGGAGGCAAGACAGGCAAGCTTGTGCTCCTGCCCGGGACTGGTTGAACAGTAAAAGGAGGAGCGGAGGAGTAAAAGGAGGAGCGGAGGAGCGCAGTTTCACTGGCGAGTGGGTCATTGGCCAGGGAGGCAGGGGAACGGGAATGTCCAACACCTGTGGTGCCGTGTAACAAATGGGCACGAACCGCCGAACCAAGGTTCATGCCCATCTCTAGTTTAAAAGATTGACAGCTCCACATCCCAGAGCCAAACCCTCTTGTTTAGTTCCTTCTTGGTTACTCTTTTTAACATTATCCCAACATTGGAAAAAAAAAATCAGGCTTCATAAGGTGGTCTGAAAAACGAGCTACCAAGATAATTCCATGTTCCTTCTGTTTTCTTGAACACTTCCTGTTTTTCCAGCACCAGGCGGTGTCTTTGCTGCCGAGGAAGGTTGGCACTTAAGTGCCCAGATTTTTGTATATCCCATTGAGTTGGATTCAGATGTAGTCAATTTCAAACCCACTGAAATCAAGGAGATGCAAATTCGTTGTGACTGAAATCCCACCATTTTCAGTGGGTCCGCTGTAGGTGCGACTCAGTTTTGTTCCACCCTGTTAACTTTTATTTGTGTGTATATAGGAGATATATTCTGTATTTATTTGGCAAAATCTGGAGTATGTTTTTGTAATTTTTATATATTATTTTCCAGATGTCTGGTGTCTTCTTTGCTACCTGCCCGCCTCCTCTAATAAAAGGTGCATTGTTTACCAACTGGTCGTTGTCTCGTTTTTTGGTTCCCATCGCAAAGAATGGTTAGAACACACTTTTGATCATGAAAACTCCGCAGGGCTGAAAATACATCCATCTTTATCTTCACAACAATGTTATGAGGATGGTTTGGGGGGGACTGGCAGAGCAAGCTGTTTTATCTAGCGCTAGTTGTTGGTGTTCATGATTGATCAGGAATAAGAAGGCTTTATTGTTTGGGGGTGGGGTGTTTTTTTTTGTTTTTTTTGTTTTGTTTTTTTTTGATCTCCCAAATTGCTGTTCAAGAGAAGTAGGCAAGGACCTTTCTGCAAACAAGAACTGTCTCCCGTTGGATGAGGTGGACAGTTGTAATAGTCAAAAAAAGAAAAGGTTTAACTTTTGCCCCTACATATTTTCCTGAAAGGAAAAAAAAATTCCCTGTGTCCATTCTACTGGTAACTTTACCCTTTTCTCTGCTTCCTGATACTAGCTTCCTTCCTTTCCAGCTTTGGATAGACCCCCAAATTGGGGTTCTTGACCCCCCCAAGTGGTTGCAAAGTGTTTACTAGGGGTTTGTGGGTCACCATTTCTTCCTTGACCTTTAGGAGCTGGATATTAAAATGAGCATATATCCCTTTATGTATATCAAGGGATGCAGGTGGCGCTGTGGGCTAAACGGCAGAACCACTGGGTTTGTTGATCGGAAGGTCGGCAGTTCAAATTTATTTATTTATTTATTTATTTGACGGCAGGCTCCCGCCCCTTGTCCCAGCTCTTGCCAACCTAGCACTTCGAAAGCATGTAAAAATACGAGTAGATAAATAGGGACCACCTCGGTGGGAAGGCAAACGGCATTCCGTGACTAGTCATGCTGGCCACGTAACTACGGAAAGTGTCTACGGACAAATGCTGGCTCTGCAGCTTGGAGGTGGGGATGAGCAGCACCCCTTAAAAAGTTGGACACGACTTAATTGTCAAGAGGAACCTTTACTTGTGTGTGTGTGTACAGACATGAGAAGCAGGCCCTTTGGGGAAGAAAGAAGTCTCTACATTGTGAAAAGGAATGACTTGACCCTATTAAAAATGTATTTTTATTCAAATGTGAGGGTGGGTGGGTTGCAGGCGACTTGGCTATTCTAAAAAGGCTTGTGACTCAAAAAATGTTGGGGGCCGCTGTAATAGATCTTCCGGGTTGTATATGGAATAAAATTG